GCTCACCCACAAGGCTGGCGCGGGCTTGATACTGATAATTTCTGTGCGACATGCGAGGTGAACAAGATTAACGAGAAAAGACACCATTACCTCGGACTGGCAATAATGCAGTGTACGAGAAGACCGCAAGGAGGCTCCTTGGCGCCTCGCGCGTTGCCATATCCCGGTGAGGCGGTTGGTCACGATTTAGGAAACGCGTAGTGCCGCCAAGACCCGTGAGAAGGCGCAGTAGGCCTGCGCCGTGACATATTTCCATGCAGCATGACCCTGCTGAGCGGCTTGCAAATTTATTCATGCATGTCGCAACTGGAGTCAGAGGAGGACGGTCGAGGTTACACAAAACAATACAGGCCGAGCCCGTATTTTTACGGTCGTATTCATCTCGGGCGTGCATATATTGCAATATTGTTGAAGTGCTCTTGTGGCGAGTTATCACCTGAGCCTGCAGAATTATTCATCCTTGCTATCTTTGTGAGGTGGGAAATGAAAAGTGATGGCATGGAGGACAAAGTCATGCCGCATACCTTGAACGCGGGTATAATCGCCAACGTTGCATGGAAGTGCAAACGTCAGCAGAGCAACTGGCTGCATATCTTGGGCTGATCTAGGCCATCCCTCGCAGCACAGCCTAATAGATGCGCGTCGCATTGGCGAGCCTTGCTGGTGCTTTGCCGGCTGGGTGTCAGCCGACATGATGCATATTGCAGCTTTGGGCTCCGTTTTCCGCGCAGCTTTGAAGAAATGGAAGAAGGTTGAGATTCACCGATTGCGATGTGGAAGCCGACCAGACGTTGAAGAACGGGGCTGGGGTGTGCATCGTGGTGTTCACACCATCGGCCAGTTGACCCTCCCCCAAATTTGCGCGATTGCCGGCCCTATGAATACACAGATCGTATTGGTGGTGTTGGTGTTGGTGTAATAGTGTGGTGTGGTGTGATCGTAATAGAACTGTCAAGGGCTTTGAATCAGTGCATTGCCAATCGCGGCGCATTGAATTATCTCGAGCAAAGAAAGGTCGCGAAGTTGGTTTTTCAGCCAGCAAGTCCGGCCAATGCTTCTCATTTGCTCACCCGTGTCCTGGCTGATAATGGCTAAAAAAAAATTGTGAGATTGCACATGATTCGACTGCTCATGGCGAAACATTACGACATGTCGTGCTGGCAGGGATTTGTAAAAGCGAATGAAGTACAGTACTGGTATCATGTCGTAAGCTAGGCGATAACGAAACGCTAGAGGCTACTCAGGCAACATGATTTCAAACCATCCTTGACCGGGGAGTAGTCTTGGCAGAGAAAAGAAGTTTATTTTGGTTGTGAAGAGAGAGAAACGTACGACTTTTTCGGAACTCGGCCTAAGTAGCTTATTTTTCGTTTTGGCTTCATCTACATGAAACTTGAAACACCGCCGTACAGTAAAAGAAGCTCATATTTCGATTACATGAAAGGCTTTAGCGGCATATCTTTGAATCTTGTTAAGAAAATCTTGAGATTAAAGAACTGTGACGAGCAAGATACGTCTCGTGCATAAAACGCTCAAGACTGTGCTCATGTGATGAGCAATGACCAGGTTTTTTCTGAATGTATCCGTAAACGGCTTCTCATGCACGTCGTCGAATTTGGCATTTCCGCGCATCCGCCATTGCAGAGTACGAATAAACTCTCCGGTGGCACGAGGAACCTGCAGATTGCTTTAATCTTCTTTGTCGAGCAATGTGTCCTCTCTCGGCAGTCATGTAAGCAAGCTTTGTAAAGACGCTAGAGACTTGGTCAACGTCACTTGACACCCCTTTGTTGCCGTTGTGACTTTTTACTGCTACATCTGTTTTTATCTTTTGCCTCTTGTTTCCGTCAAGACTACCAGCTTCGCCCACAACGCGAAGCGTTTTGCCATCTGCCCAGTCGATTCGACAATGTCATTGGCCGCGCCAAAGGGGAAGGGGAGGGGAGGGGAGGGGTAAATAGTCGATCATGAGGTCTCCAAAGTGTGTGTGTCTCCGGCGCGCCCACGACCAGCCAAACAAGATGAAGAGCAAGGGAGAGAACAACGAATAGCAAGCGCATTTCTCCACACACACCTGCAGCTGCACATCATGGGTTAAAGCATGTCCTTTGCTCCTCATCCATTTTCGCCCCCGTCTCCCCCTCCCTGTCCTGCTACGGAGTATGTCTCGCTAAATTGTGAAAGGGAGGGTGTGCTGGGTAGGGATGAAAAGGAAGGGCGTGTGTTTTGCACTCGGAGATGAATGGAAGCCTGGATTTTCGTAGACACGAGGGCGCAAGTATAATTATGATTGTAGTCGACAGTATGGCGTATGGGTGGTTCAAGGTGGACGCGCCAGCCATTGACGGTCTGGATTTCCTTCTTCCCCGGACAGAGTTCGACTAGAGTCAAAGCCAGGGCTGAGAAACAGGCAGCAGCGCAACAACTTCTTGATACTGGTAGCATCGGCCGAACACGGGCGAAAGGGAGGTCGTGCGGCGGCGCGCGCCGTAAATAGGCAAGGTAGGGTTCAAGGTCCATGTTCGGGGGGTGTGTGCAAGTTGCTCTGGCGTAATGGGATTCATCAAGCACGAGACATGGCGTGCGCTACGGGGAAGGAAAGAGAAAAACGCGAGATCAGATGAACCCTCCGAATGAGGCAAGACAAGCATGATCGGGATCAGAAGAATATAGACGGGAAATAGAATTAGGCGTGACGCCTCCGAATGCAGGGCGTCGAATATTTGTCTACACCCTGCGGACATGGCGAAGCCTGATATTTCACACGCAAGCAAGGCTATGTCTACTCAGCTCCGGGAAAATCACAAAACCGGGAAAGAGTGAAATAAATAAAAAAATGCAATTTTCGAAGATGATGATCCCTCGCAAGTGTTGCAATCTGTCCAAAGTAGGTGCGACGTCCGATGTAAAAGGGCTGCTCTTCGACCATGAGGCGCGTGGACCGAGGGAGGGGTTGAACCTCTTTTGACATCATTGCGCAGCATCATCTCTCCACTTCTCCCTGGTTATGTTTTTTTTCGGCCGTTTTTCTCGTTTTGTATTCCTCGCGTCTCTCGGTCCAATTATACGCGTCATGGTATTGTTCTAAAGAGATTATTGGGCTGGAACTTGAGTATAGAATATGTTGGGGGGGAGTGGGCGAAACCGCAGGGGATTGCAAGAAGACCACATCTGCGACATAGAAAGGCAGAACTGGTGGGCCAGGTTCTCGGTTAGTTAGTGACATGACCATGACTGGCAAGGACTTTCTCATACTGTTATTATACGCAACAATTTTCACAACGCGTTTGGTGTATAGAGTGCAGAGGAGCTTGAGGCGCGAGTGTGCATAACCAATGATGGCGTGAATCATCAAACATGTTTATGAACTCATGGATAGGGCTGTTTGAGATGCTCTCAGTAATGGATCAGATTGTGACTGGGTGCATAGTCTGCCGGCTCGTGGGAAGGAAACAATATCGCGGTATATTAGCCTTTGAGCTGATCTATCAAGAGTAAACGATGAAGAGATGGCACACGCCATATCGCGAGAAAGGTTCTACGCGTGCCTTGAATATCTTTGCGGTGTTTTGCAATTGATAAGAGCTCGCCTTGCTAAAAGCATGCAGCACTCGTATCGAATGCATAGCCAGCTGCTCGTGCTGCATGTTTCTAGATGTCGTGGTTCTCACGTGGGCAAACAACTCTTCGGCTTCTACTCCATACTAGCTCTCTATTCTTCCTCATGTTTTTCTTGATTGACGAATTTATTTCCCTAGTATTATTAAGTAGTCACTGATTGCTCGGCCATGCTTTCTAAGCGCAGAGGCCCAAAAAAGCGTGTTCATCCACAAAACACCACCAAAGAAGCAGTCTTCTTCACCATGTACATGGCCTTAATACTAGACTAATGTATAATCTAATTCTTGAAGATACCATGAGCTATAGATGGCTCAACTTTATTCTTTTACTCGCCGGAGCTAAAATGGAAGAAGCAGAGCGGCGATCCTGGATCACTCTCGTCGAGCTAACTTCCTTCGAATCGTTTGTTTTGGGAGCTATTGCTGTTTGACTTTGCAGAAATTGTTTTTAACAAGACTCCGCCTCGGAGTTATGGCTTTCGAGATTCTCAACTCCGCAACGGGAGCACTGCTACAGCTTTCCGAATTGCAACTACTAGAGACGTCGGCCGTGCATTGTGAAGATGCCTATTGTTTTTCGGCCCGCTTGCTAGTCCCAAATTCACAGACAGAAGAGCGTATCAAGTCATATCTGTCGAATGAACTTCGAGCAAATCTAGAAATAGAGTTTAATTTAGACACAACTGGCTGAGCTGCAAGAATCAACCAAGCTCGGGGACGAGAGAGTGGCTGACCGGGTATCACTGAAGCATGAGGCCTTGCAGCTACATGAAAATCATATCCTTATGCGCCATCCTGTCTCATTTCATTATTTATATGCTAATAAAATGGCCGACATTCTCGAGAATCTATTTGACCAAACATACTGAAGACGGTGCAAGCCGGCCGCATGTGCGCGTGTCGATTACCACAACAAGGTATGCGAATCGAGCGACATAGACTTCTGGCTCAAGTACCAAACCAAGATACAATGCTGATAAAAAAAAATACACATCTCATCACTTGTCCGTACCATTTGCAGACAGTTCGGTAGCACGTGATAAAGCACGTGATATGAAACCAAACTGAGAGTTATTGTCATATTCAAAACATCGAAAAAAGTTCAAGCACACAGTCTCATGTAAAAAGTCAATCTCGAATCTTCAATTTCGTAGACTTCTAGACAAATGTGTGTCTCGAACTTGTCCATCTTCTTGGCTGTGTTTCTATACACATGCGTTGGCAAGGCGCTAATCGATAAGCCGTTTTGCAGCCTATGATTCGCTTGCTAGGCGCATCTGGGCAAACTTCACTTGAGAACTCTGCTGCAGGACAACTTAACACAATCGCCACCCTGAAGACGAACTCATTCTCCAGCGCGAATTCTCACGGAAACATAACATGACAAGTCTCAAGAGGGCGCACGAGGCCGGGCCTCTGGCCTCCAACATCTCTAGCAAAACCTATGTCCGATCCACCCGCAGTGGCAAGGTCCAAAAGATTGTGAGAGAAGTCTACCTCAGAACAGATATTCCCTGCTCGTCACAGCTATGTAAAGCGTGCTTGGAGTTTGCGCCTCGAAGTGCTGCTGGTCAAGGTAAGCTACTTTTTTGACGTGAGCAACGCCTCCATTCAGCAAGCTGATTTGCTAGTTCAACCGTTTGTCCTCTCTGATAAGCCTGCGGGCACCAAGGCTTTCCCGCGCGGCCATTACCTGGTGCCCGACACCAATGCGCTGCTGAATGGCATGGATCTATTCGAGCAGAGCTCTGCCTTTTACGACGTCATCATCCTGCAAGTAGTGCTGGAGGAGCTGCGCAACCGCTCCCTGCCGCTGTACAACCGCCTGATATCGCTAACCAAGAGCGAGGACAAGCGCTTTTACGTCTTCTTCAATGATTTTCGCGTGGAGACGTACGTGAGAAGGGAGCCAAACGAGTCGGTCAATGACAGGAATGACCGCGCGGTGCGCCAGGCTGTCAAATGGTACGGTGAGCACCTTGCGGCACAAGCCGGCAAGGGTGAGGCGCCCGCCGTCGTGATGCTGACAGATGATCGCGACAACATTCGCAAGGCAAAGAAGGAAGGCGTCGAGGCATCCACTTTAAGAGACTACATTGGCAGTCTGGCAAATGGTGAGAACCTACTCGACCTTATTCCCGAATCCCAAAGCCAAGCACGCGAAGTCATCAACAAGGGCTCCCAGCCACTCTACCCCGAGTACTTTACGCTATCACGTATGATGACTGGCGTCAAGGCCGGTCTCATGCATCAAGGTATCTTCAACGTCTCGCCATACAACTATCTCGAGGGATCGATTAAAGTGCCGGCTTTCGCCAAGCCGCTCATCATCCTGGGGCGAGAAAACATCAACAGAGCCGTTGACGGCGATCTTGTCGTTGTGGAGCTTTTGCCACAAGACCAGTGGAAACAGCCATCCACGAAGATTGTGGAAGAGGAAACGGTAACGAAGAACGAGGATGCCGATGCAGAGCAACAGGATTTTGTCTCGGATCGTGAGAAGAAGGCGTTGCAGGAGCAGGTTAAGCGCACACACAAGAGTGGCTCGGAAAGCCACCCACAGCCCACGGCCAAGGTTGTAGGCGTCATCAAGCGCAACTGGCGGCAATACGTTGGCCACATCGACCCGTTGTCCGCCAGCAAGGGTCCCAGCCAGGGCCGCAAGCTGGACAGCGTATTTCTCATTCCCATGGACAAGAAGATTCCCAAAATTCGCCTGCGCACGCGACAAGTATCTGAGCTGCTGGGCAAGCGACTCTTGGTGACGATTGATGCATGGGACCGCGATTCAAGACACCCAGTCGGCCACTTTGTGCGGTCCTTGGGAGAGCTCGAAACCAAGGCCGCCGAGACCGAGGCCCTGCTTCTCGAGTGGGATGTGCAATACCGTCCATTCCCCAAGACTGTTCTTGACTGCCTGCCCAAGGAGGGTCATGACTGGCGCGTTCCTACTAGCACCGATGATCCTGGCTGGAGAGATCGTGAGGATTTGCGTGGTCTTCTTATTTGCAGCATCGACCCTGTCGGCTGCCAAGATATCGACGATGCGCTGCATGCGCGCAAGCTTCCCAACGGCAATTACGAAGTCGGTGTGCATATTGCAGACGTCTCGCACTTTGTCAAGCCTGCCAATGCCATGGATGCGGAAGCTAGCGTGCGCGGTACCACTGTCTATCTTGTCGACAAGCGCATCGACATGTTGCCGCCGCTGCTAGGTACCGATCTGTGTTCACTAAAGCCCTACGTCGAGCGCTACGCATTTTCCGTCCTCTGGGAACTCAACGACAATGCCGATATCGTGAATGTGCGCTTCACAAAGTCGGTCATCAAGTCGCGCGAAGCATTTAGCTACGAACAGGCGCAGCTCCGCATAGACGACGCCTCGCAGCAAGATGAGCTCACGCAGGGCATGCGCACGCTCCTCGCGCTGTCCCGCCGGCTCAAGAAGAAGCGCATGGACGCGGGCGCGCTCAGCCTGTCCTCGCCCGAGGTCAAGGTGCAGATGGAGTCGGAGACGTCTGACCCCATTGACGTCAAGACGAAGGAGCTTCTCGACACCAACTCGCTCGTGGAGGAGTTTATGCTGTTTGCCAACATTTCCGTCGCTGCCAAGATATACGAGGCGTTTCCGCAGACGGCCATTCTTCGTCGCCACGCCGCGCCGCCAAAGACCAACTTTGACGAGCTCGCCGAGCAGCTGCGCGTCAAGCGCGGCCTCGAGCTCCGCACCGACACAAGCAAGGCGCTCGCCGACTCGTTGGACACGTGCACCGACCCGGCCGAGCCCTTCTTCAACACCCTCGTCCGCATCATGGCCACGCGCTGCATGATGAGCGCCGAGTACTTTTGCTCGGGCACGCAGTCGTACCCCGAGTTTCGCCACTACGGCCTCGCGTCGGAGATTTACACGCACTTTACGTCGCCTATCCGTCGATACGCCGACCTGCTCGCCCACCGGCAGCTCGCCGCCGCCATTGATTACGAGGCGGTGCACCCGACGGTGCGCAGCCGCGGCCGCCTCGAGGCCGTCTGCAAGAACATCAATGTGCGCCACCGCAATGCGCAAATGGCTGGCCGCGCCTCCATCGCCTACTATGTCGGCCAGGCGCTCAAGGGCCGCGTCGCCGAGGAGGACGCCTTTGTCATGCGCATTTTTAGCAACGGCCTCGTTGTGCTGGTGCCACGCTTCGGCATCGAGGGCCTGATTCGTCTGCGCGACTTGGCGGAGCCTGAGCCCGAGAGCGAGTTTGACGCCGAGACGTTTACGCTCACGACGACGGGTAGCCGCACGCTCAAGGTGGAGTTGTTCCAAAAAGTCAAGGTTAGGGTTCATGACGAAAAGGACGAGAAGACGGGCAAGCGCGGTGTCAAGATGGAGCTGATTAGTGCATGAGATGTAAGCCTAGAGCCCATTTTAGACTACAAAACCATCAGCGCTGGCCTCGGTGATATTGAAGCGCTTCACATGTGTCTGTTAATAGAGGAAGGTTCATCGGATTCATAGTCTTTTAGATAGCTACATGCTCATTCTGTCATTTTTTTTCCTGCAAGAATCAAGTGCCCCATAAACGCCAAAACTTATCCGTAAAAGAGATGATGTGAACCCAACGTGACGGGAAAAGACACTTTTTTCTATACTTCGTATTGTTCCATGAGATGCAGTTCCTTCTTTACTGCTCCATGGCATCGTCGTCTGCACCAGCAGCACCGTCGTCGCCCCACAGACCCTCGAGTTTGAACTCGGCAGCCCATTCTGTAACAATCTGCTTCTGGTCGGGCACAATCTCCTCCTCGGCGCCCTTCTTGACAGCCTTCTTGGCAGCAGAGGGCTTCTTGCCCGAAGCGACGGCGAGCACGGGAGCCTCTACCCAGCCCTGGATGCGGCCGTCGCGCCAGTCGGTGACGACGGTCATGGCGGCGGCGTTGAGGTTGGGGATGCCGCCGCGACCGAGGCGGCCGCGCTTGCGGGCGACCTGGACGAGGAAGTCGGTGGAGAAGTCGCCGTCGAGGCGGCTGGGCAGGAGGGCGGGGATGTCGTAGACGTCGGTGAGCTTCTGCAGGAGATCCGGGGAGGCGGAGAGGCGGCGAAGGAGGAGACTGACGGCGGGGATAGGATCGTCAATCTGCTTGGGGGGTACGGCGTTGAGCAGGACAAGGTGCGCGTGGGCGTCGGCGGCGTTTTTCAGGTTGACGAGGCCAGAGGACTGCACCGACGACGACGACGGGAAGACGACGCCGGGCGAGTCAAGCAGCGTCAGCTTGCTGTCAATCTTGACGGCGCGAATGCTCGTGGTGACGCCCGCCTCGGCGCCCGCGGGGCACGCACGCGACGAGCTCGGCGCCTTGCCGCTCAGCCGGCCCAGCAGCGCGTTGATGACGGAGCTCTTGCCGACGTTGGGGTAGCCAATGACCCCGACGGACACGGCACGCTTGAGGTCGCGGCTGGCCGCGAAGCTCTTGAGCGCCCGAAACAGCGTCGCCGACGTGTTCTGCACCGACAGCTCGCGGTGGTTAAACGTGTGCGCGTTGGCGGCGGCGCTCGAGGCGCGCAGCGGCAGCGTGGGAAAGTACCGCCGCAGGTACACGAGCCAGTCGCGCAGCACCTTGGGCGGCACCAGGTCAATCTTGTTGAGGAGGAGGATCAGGCGCTTCCCGCTGGCGGCGGCGCCGGCCATGATGCTGCGCTCGACCTCGCGCGAGCGGGTGCCCTCGGGGTCGCGGGCGTCGAGCACGTACAGCACCACGTCGGCTTCGTCAATGACCTTTTTGAAGACCTTGTCGTACGTCTTGCGCGACGAGGCCTGGCCGGCCGAGATCTCGTTGGTGTCCAGTTCCTCGTCGTCTTCTTCGTTGTCGTCCTCGCCCATGTCGTTGTCGGCGAGCTCCTTGTCGTACTTGGCAGCGGCTTTGCGGGCGCTGGCAATGAGGGCCGCCATGGGGTTGGACTCGTCACCATCCTCGTCGTCGTCGTCGTCGTCCATAAGGTCGTCGCCATCCTCGTCGCCCTCGACATCCTCCATGGCCTCTTCATCAGCGGCCTCCTCGGCAACGCCCGTGCTGGCGGCCTTGGTCATTTCTTTGCGGCGCCGGGCCTCATCCAGCTTCTTCATGCGCTTCTCCTCAATCTCTTGCAGGAGCTTCTCCTTGTACGGGAACAGATTCGGGATACCCGGGTCTTTTTTCAGTTTGGATCGCCATTCGGGGTTCTTTTTCGCCAACTTGCGATCTTTTCGCTGCTTGGCAGCGGAGGCCTTGACGATTTTGTGCCGAAGTCGTGAGGTGCCACGCTTCGAGTTGGGCTCTGATGATCGTTAGCAGGCTGCAAATTTTCGTTCTGGCGGCAAAGTATTATAAGCAGAGACATACTCTTTGGCTTGTTGATTGAACCCGCCATTTTGAATTACAGTCGGGTTTGTGAACAGTGATTGCTCGTAAGAAGACGACTTTCTTGACCGTTTTGGTGGATGGCAGAAAAAAAGATAAAGTGGGCTGCTCCGATAAGCCCAACCAGATAAGACGGAGCGCTGCTTTGTTGAAGCCGTGGTTGTAACTAGGAGCGCTCGTGGGCCACAGCAACCAGTTATGTAGGTGCTATGACGCTAGCCACCAATCATAAATCGAGATAGCGAAAAGGTACCTCCTACGGAGTACTTTAGCCGCTAGTTCCTACATAAGAGTAAATACCTTTTCCCTATGACCACTATTTAAAAATGAATATAATATAATTGGTTTGTATTACCTAAAACTATCTTTATTTATTCTAAATAAAAGTTATAAAAGATTTCTTAAGTCTTTTTTTAGGTAGGTTTAATATAAGAAGTAACCTAAGAGAAAAAGGTTAATAAGAAGTCTAGATATAGAATAAAGGTAAAATAAAAAAAGACTTATTAATTTAATAAATTATTTATTTATTTAAAATAAAAGCTAAAGTAAATATAAAGCAAAAGAGTATTTACTTACCTTAAAATAATAATAACAATATAAAGTTTTTTAGAAGATATTAATATTAAGTTTAAAATAATAAAAAAATTAAAGTTTTATATATTATTTATAAATTATAGAAGTAAAAAAAAATCAATAAATATATATAGTGATATAGCTTGCCCTGCCTGATGTTAAAAATTATATTAGACGAATTCTCTAGAATTAAAAATTAAAAGTCAATCCTCTTCTTATGCTGGAGGAACGGGTCTGCTTCACAGTGAGGGCGGTTTAGCACAAACAATTCCTAACAAGGCCGAGGCGATTACCCATGGAATGATCGGATAAATGGAAATAGCCTTGACTATGGTTCTACGTAACTGATAAAGGTATTAGTCATTGTCTCAGGAAATGTTTTACAACGGGTTTTTGGGTGTCTTGTTTTAGCTGCAATGGAAAGTATTTGACACAAGACATGGCCTCATGGGATGGCAAATGATATGTGAACTAGTGATTGTCATGTGCCAAGATAAGTAACATGCAGTAACTCAAGTAATCAATAGTCGCGTAGCTATGGCCTTTCTCAGTAGAGCTTTCAGAGAAGTAGAAGTTGCATGATGACGCGAGATCTTGAGCTTCCTCTTTACGAGATATATTACGTGAGGACGGCTGGCACAAAAAGAGATATAAAGTATAGTGTGCTAAATTGTGGTTACAGATTTGTAGATTAATCTAGCTTGAAAAGTGTACTATAGCGGCGATGGAAGCTATCATAGCAGTGCTCACGCTAGATACTGTCAGCTTCTACATTTTTTTCTCGCAAATACCCATCATAAGTAGCAAAGCTTGCACATTATTTGGCGAGAAGCCCAAGTATGTCTCCAGCATTTGTAGCTCGTCTTGACTTGCGCCCGGCTTGAGTATCTCTCGTCGAAACCATTCCCAGGCAGTTTTGCTGTGAGGGCTCTCAGCAAATGTATGCTGAAATAAATTGGCAGCAATTACATCTGCACTAAATTATCAAGTCAGTATTGGCACATCTCGGCTCGAGTGAAGAAGCTGCTTACCAGATATAGGAGTAGTACCCAGCATCATATTCGTTCAGGAAGTGTCCAAAGCCCATATGTCCATGTCAGGTAACGGAAGATCTCTAGAAGTCGGTTTCTTTACAAAATCTTTGCAAAGTTGTACTCCACCCTCTGACATCTTCACTCCAAACGCACTTCCGGAGAAGGCCTGCTGTCAAAGGCCCGAGCGAAAGCTGCAGAGACACTGCGAAAAGATCCAATATAGAATCGGATGTATGAGTTAGTGGGAATTACTCAGAAATTGTCGGTTCTTTGGCTGAGCCGTTTTGCGGAGCCATCTTTGCGTAGTAATAAGACTTGTACCATGGCTTAAGCGAGTGACTTCCGAGGTCATTATTTAAGGCGTCTGCCCTCTTCATCGCTTGGGCTTGGTCAAATTTGCTGTCTTTTGTGGGATCCCCTTTCGCCGATAGAAGAAACGCCTGCATCAATTTGGCAAGAAGCTCGTCTACCCATTCAGACGAAGGTGCGATGCGGTGCGGAAGCCTAGCGACGGCATGACTGCGATGACCCAACTCACGGGCGCTTTCTTGTCGAAGCAAAAGTGTTTTTCTGAACAACGTTATGTTGTCTTTGAAGCGCTCGCAATGTAGATTATACATTCGTCGTCGGGTTTCCGGATTATGCGCATGTTTCATAATTGTGTGACAAATTTGGGCGTACGTGACAAGCACTTTTTCATCCTTCTAACATCTTGTAAGAGGTGATCGACAAGCTCAGAAGAAGCATTGATATGCATACTATTGGCAGAATGTCCTCAGCGCGAAGAATATAGGGAGATTGCTGCGGCGGCATCCGTATCATTATCAAAGCTCTATAGTAAAGCTTCAGGTGAGCATAATTTTTGATCACTGAATACAAGGCTGTAGAATCATGAGACCTGCTGCGCGGTAGATATTTAGGTAGAGAGCGGGGTTTCCTCAGGGCAGTATAACAATGACTTGCTATTCGTGCGACGTTCTTATCACGTGTGCTATGCCATATGTAACGTCAGAGCATGATGATCTAGTAATCTTGGCCGAGCAGTCATCTGGCGCTTTTCTAGAAAACTGCCACGATACTGCAAGTATCATCAGTAGTTCTTTCTGTAATTCTTTATATCCATCAATTGACGTCCCTTATCCGTGTCCTAGCGGTGAGTGTGACACGCCGGCCTAAGCCTTCTAGCAGGCGGCAAAAAAGGTCTAGGTAAGTAACTTCGAGTTTTCCAGGCAGCAACCACTAAATTTGATGGTCTTGTGTACTTGTTATTGTTACATGAAGCTGCGCGTTGCCTAGCGCCACCGCATCGCCATAAGAATTACGGAAAGCTTGTGATGAGTTATATCACCGGTAAACACATCAAAATCGTCGGCATTATCCATTCCTCCGCAGCATCAGCCATGGGGACACGTCTTCTATTTTGCAACCAATCATAGGCTAGCGCAAAAATGTTTTTTTTTTGTTCTGTTTTTCGAATCGTAGCGACGAGGAAGGGCGAGGCTATCGCCAAGAGATCGATAGGATGCTTCGAATGTCGCCCGAGAGCTGCCACGCAGCCAGAAAACACTCTTTTCGGGATTGGAGTGGTAGACATCATGCGCAAGTGCGATGTCGAGTCGCGATTTACTTCTTTCATGTTAGCCATGATAGCATAATGGTGTTGAGCATATTCAGAACACCTACCTAAACCCTGTTGGATAACTCTGCCTCTGGTACTTGCTGCTACCTAACCCCACCTACGAATAACGAAATAGCAAAATAAAAGAAGTGCGATGACTAGGGCCTGAAACTGAAATTGATATATAGGGAGAAAATGGTATACTAATAGGTCCCTTTAAAGAAAAAGCATGTAAGAATAAAAGAATTTTGTAAAACTTAGTTGATAAGTTATATACTGGCTTAAGCTAATGTAGGATGTTGAATCTGATGTACTTGGGTCTAGCCCTACATCCTGTGTTTGTAGAATTCTTCTTTTATCCTAGTTAAATTCGTTACACTTTTACTAAGTTAGCTACTTTATCTTTTATATATAAGGAGGAGGATTCTTACCC